ATACTCCTGTCTCCCACCATTCGCAGGACAGAACATCTAAAGCCCCTAATCGCAAGTTGGCTTCGTTTACATTAAACGGTACAAAAAGGGCTGCGCACGCGCATGCGAACTTGACATTGTCTATTCTCGCGCCGGAAGCCGCCCGCACACGCCGGAAACGGCCGCCCTTCAAAGGGGTAACATTGTTTCGGAGAATGTAAGCGACAAACAAACACATTTGTACTCAAAGTTAATTCTGTAATATACTTGGTCTTTCCGCTTAAAGTAAACTGATACATTGTTGCATTGTTTCAGACGAAATACACGTACGTGGGTGCCCGGAATAAAACAGAATTCCTTTTTAAAACTCTATTTAACAACATCCAAAAAATAAGATGACGAAGTTTTTCTAAATTTACTCCCTATGGATTTGTATAACTCCCTCCTCCCTCAGAACCCTCATTGACCTTTTCTCCCCCTGCCTACCACCTACCAACAGTCTTGTGCCTACAAAATATTTTGGACGACCGGCTGCCTCTACCCGTAATGACTAACCACTGTTATAATAAATATACCAATTAAATTAATTAACTTCTTCCTACTCCTAGCCTAGCCGTGAGAGTCCACCACATCACATGATCAATATTATCTCCAAAACTTTTTGTCATATCAAAGAGAAGAACAGAAGTTCCATTTGAATAAACAGTGAAATAAACAGACTCCTGAAAGGAGGAGGTTTCAATGGTTTATCAATTCGACCGTGTATAATATGCTTTTTATGTTTGTTCTTGTACTTACACAGTAGTAGTGTACATTAATACTTAATAATTTTGTGAGACATATCAAATCACCTAATTATATTTAACGGCGTACTCACGTAGCTGTTTGGCGATTACTAGGCTGGTCATGCTAGGGCTCATATTTATCCTCATGCCAAGCAAACCAATATACCTACATCAATTACTCGTAGAAAACAATTACAGCCTTATTTTTTTGGCTTTTGATAAATAATGTGTATTTGGTTAATTAGCGATCTATGTATCCCGCGTATGATATTTTTATTTTCTATCAACATAAAGGTATATTATATTAATATTAATATACAAGCTTTACCATTCATAACATAAGTATTCAAAAACATTTATACCTATTTGGTCTTTAGAGCCTAGTACCTTTTAATGGGACTTCTGAAACCTTCCTCCAATGAGCACGGATCTATTGTATAGCCATATGCCATGGATGCAGTGCGTGCACGCATCTGCCCGAGATTCCCACAGCCCGCCATTTTTTTTGATTACGGATGCACGTAATGCCGATTGATGAGATTGTTTTATTAAAATTCGGAAGTTGAGACAAGATGCGTGGAAGGAAGGAAGCAAGTACTTTTTGTGTACCTACTTATTTATTCCTTTCAACTACTTACTTAACTACGTATCTACACATTCTTCACTGTGTATACTATGATGATAGGCTTGACATAAATTAGAGTAAAAATAAGTAAATATAGCAAGTGTCCTATCTGCTAGATATATTTACACCGAAAATATCATTCTTCTATTTTATAAAGGATGTCTAAACGACCTAATTCAAATAAACAAAACAATTACAATGTTTGTCTAGCTTACTAAAATATTTCGCAACAGAACAAATACCATAGACTACAAATCGACATTGACCCTAAAACGAATTTGTAAATAAATAAATAAAAATATATTATCCAACATGAACTAAAAGATATCGACATTTTAACAACCGTATGGTAGGCGTGATTCGATACGCCAAAAACGAATATGTTCGAAATACAAAAATATGCGCGTTGCACAGGTGGCAAATCTTAGAGTTCCCACAGAGCACAATAGATTTTTTATTAGACTACGCCAAGTGGCATCTCGTTCGTAGAGCCAAAAAAATAATGAGGTTAGAGATGGTATAACAGGAATGGGTAGGCAATATCGATAGATTTTTCGATTGGAAAAAACTCAAATCGGAATTATTAGCTTATTCAGGCAATGATTATTGAGGTTCTCTTAAATATTCTCAATACTGATTATCCTATGTTTTCTGTTTTGTTTTTATTAAGTCCCATTATTTATAATCAATATGGGTACAAATGAATATGTAATTCTTATCGGATTGAATAAATCCTACACTTGCTTCTTTAGTTTTCCGTCTATTGCATATCTAAATGGCCATCTATTTGACACATCGATAAATCGATTGATATCAACAGCACATCTCTTAGAGTCGATACGTAACAGTTCCGCGCTCCCATACATTATGACAGCAATCGAAACGGGAGCATCGCGACACAATGGCGTACGTAAATACACGGAAACCCAGCTAATGAAGTAGGAACACGAACTGGCGGGAAAACATGTACGTACTTATTATACTTGCGTAATTAACCGCCCACGTTGTATTGTCTTGTCAGGCTGCTTTAGCATTAGCTCAAGACTAAAATAAACTTTTATGGGGACAGGTCATGCTGCACTTTAGGTACTTTTAAGGCAATTTTATTCTCTTAAAGCTGCAATCATGCTTCTTATCGTTAAGTTAGCTAAATAACTACAATCGTCGTTCAATATTTTTTGACACGACGTAGGTATCTATTTATACAATAGATACTACGTTAGATCTGATCATACCAAGAACAGTAATTATATAAATATACCTTCTACGTAAACATTTTTAAGGGTAGATATAAAATAAACTTAAAGCAGTTTTTTATTTGTTCCCGGAAATATCCCGACCTTTATAGTTAATATTCATACATAAACATGTTTCCATTGATGCTCTGCGCCAATTTTTAATTTAGCAGTTTTCCCACTGAGTGGTATGTTTCCATGGTCACGCCTATCCCTAATCCAACCTTTTAGTGAGCATTTTTTTTTTTTTTTTTTTTGTTAGGGGAAAATCATCCAATGACTTCTCCCGCCCAGGGTAAGGCGAGAGAGAGTGTCAGACTCTTACTGACTAAAAACCCCCCCGTTCCTTCTCCTGCTCTGGGCCGAGGTCGCGGTGCCTCATTGCGCTTACCCCGCAGCCCCGGCTAAACATCAGCCCTTTAGGGCCCCGACTGTGGTGGTCTATTGGCTCTTTGAGGCGCGCGCGGAACGCTACGCGCCGTACGCTCGGGTCCGGTTCTGGTCGGGCGGCGAGCTACCCTTACTCGCCGTCCCGTCGCAGACCCGCGCAACCTTTTAGTGAGCATGCCAACTCGAAGCTGACACAAGTACCGACATTCTGCTAATCTAACCAATTGGGTAGTTTCCTAGGTAAAAAATAAATTAATTTGATGTTTCAATACAATTAAATATTGAAAAATAACTATACTTTTATTCATCGATCAATCGATACACCAAGTTTTAGATTTTTTTTAGCTAATTTTTGTGAAATAAGTAAGCTATTTGACGGAAAAATGTTATGACATCATAGCTCAGTTTTTCATACAAATTTCATAGAAAAGTATCGTATTGAATTTGACTAGTTGGAAACTAACGTATTGTAATAGGCTACAGGACACTTACATTTACAAATTGATAGTAAGTTAAGTTTGTTAATATGAGTGACATGCTTGCAATTTTAGTAGGAAAATTTGAGAATTTGAGTAGTTTTGCTCAAGCAAAAATCCACTGGAATATAATTTATTTTCGTGTATCCTGTGGAGCAGGACTGGCTAGTCTCCAATATAATCATTTAGCTTGTAATATGCTAGTCTGCTTAAAAAGTAATTAGTAATATGTATAGAACATAAAATAAGTATTGTTAGGTACTTACCTAATCAGAATGAGTAATTGTTGCAACCCAGACAATACATTGTTGTCGTTTACTTTGTTCACATTCTGTAATACAACAACACCAATGACTGGGCGACGCGAAGGTGACACCTTCGATGTTCGAACAGCCAAACAATGATCGGTGGTCATTGCTGAATGATTCATTCATTGCTCACGGATCATTAACTCGTAAGAGGTATTGTTTACCAAGATCTATCTCGTAATTCACGCCCCTCGTCTGAAAAACCACAGTTTTAGGAGCTTCTAAGTAATTTCATTACATCGCCTTTATAAAAAAAATCTGTAACTTAAAGCTTTTGATGCATACATTAATCAAAAATTTCATCTAATGATGAAGCTTGAAGGATCTTTGAAACCAAGTAATACAAAAAGATTACAAATTACCTGATGGTATGCAATCGGCGCCTCCCATGAATACTTACAACACTAAAGGATTTGCAAGTGCTAGCATAATGGCAGTTAAGCGGTTTTTAAATTGAAGACGAATGGGGAGAGGAAGGACAGGGCCTCCAATAACCGCACTCACAAGGTGAAACAACGCTGTGATTGTTTCACGTCGATTTTCTGTGAGGCTATGGTATCACTCCGGTCGACCCAGCCAAATCGTGCCGAAGCATGACTCTCCCACATTTAGAGTGAGTATTCCGGGCCTCATTTTTACGACTTGTTAGGTACTGGGGCACCCAGAGTCTTATCTTTTAGTTAGAAAATGGACAATATAACTAAATTATTCCGCAACATGATCTATCGATTATGTACGCGTATGCTTTGTCTTAAAATTCTCCTTTATACCAAAACAAACCAAACTTTTAACCAAAATTTATAAAAATCGAATTACTTATCTTTTTGGGTAAGCATACAAGATAAATGTCGATCATTCACACAGATATTCGGGTTCTTGTCCAGTTGCAAAAAAATGTGATATTGTAGTCTTGTACTACATAATAATACAATTAATGCTGCTGCCTTTCAGCGCCACCTATCTGTTGCAGAGGTAAATGTCAATCTGTAGAGATTTGCAAAAAGTAGCACAGCATAGGGACTCTGTGTCAATAAGTGTATTATTTATGACTTAGACCATAGTGAGTTTATAGCAAAGACCTTTGTAATTCTATACTCTAACTTTTATAGTAATCCTTAGACTATTTAATTATTCCATCTATTAATCTCTGTCTCATCTGTGACAGTCTAAGGTGACACTGACAGGGACGTCAAATTTGATGTTTTCATTTCAAATCAAATGATATTGACAATCGAAAAATCGTCATCAAAGACATAGTGGTTGGTAGACACACTAACGTACTGTATAAGGTTGTACGTAGTACTGTTTCTGTATGCAAAGATAGGTTCTGTTAAGTATAATATGTACCTCTTACCCTTTAGGTACTTACCCAACGCTGTTTTTTTAGTAATACCTGTTCTTTTCTCTTTTTACTAATCCATGATTTGCTGACTTGTAAAGGTGTATTAATATTATAGGTATGTACGATACCAAAACATATTTATGTGATGTAAAGTAGGCTTTGTTATAGTTATAGTAATATTTATTCTGCTCTCTCAGATCATCTTGTTCTCAATTTCTTATGTTGATACAAGTGGTTTGTTTATATAGTATAATATGAACCTCTTTATACATGCATGAGTCACCGCGGCCTCGGCAGAAGAAGGAACGAGGGGGTTTTTAGTCGGTAAGAGTCTGACACCCTCTCTCGCCTTACCCTGGGCGGATGAAAATGTTTAAGTGTAACTGGTTTAAACTATTCAGTTAATATACCTGAAAAGCAAACATTTTGAAATTATTAAAAAGACCCCAATCCAAACCAATCTATCCTTTTTCAGGGTACAAGATAAGATCTTGTCTGATGAAGAAGAGCTGATTTTAAAATCTAAGTTGACCACCAAAACATGAAACTTACATCAGATGTTCTTAGAAAAGAAAGAATTGACAGTTAGGTACAAGAACCCCTTGAACAAACGAATCTGTAGTAGACAAGGAGATTGCAGGTTGCAGTCAAAATATTCCAAGAAGTAAGTTCAAACTTTTAACTTATCAGACTTTATTTACAGAATAAAATTAGACAGATTACCTAGATTAGATTTTCCTTTCTAAATAAAATACAATTACTTATAATCTGCCTGTTTAGTTTGTTTATTGTAATTATAATTATCACACTATTTCTACAATTTATTATCTCCAATTTTCTTTTACAAATAAAACAGTAATCTCATCTGCACAAAATATTGTATATAATATAATGCATGTTATATTATTATTTGTGAAGATTTATTATTTACACAATAAATTGTAGGTCCCAAAAGCATTAGAGAATTAAAGAAATTATATGAAATTGATGCCAACTTAAGAAAATTAAATGATAAAGAAAATATAAGTGATTCAAATATGAAAGAGTCATCAATAAATCAATCTGAGAGTTTTGAAGAGTGGCTTGAGAAGTTAAATGCTAAACACAAAGCTTTCATGGAAAATGCACGAAAATCTATCAATGAAATGCTTGAGAAGTATGATTCTCGACCAAAAATAGGTGCTGACAAAGAAACTCCCAGCTACAGATGCAGTTCCTATGAAGATTCATGTTTAGAATTCGGTGGCAAATTTAATAAAACAGAGTCAACATCCAATAGAATGACTGTTGATCCACATCCAGGACAGATGGCTGGCAACACTTTTAACAAAAATAATGAAGAAGTATTAAAATCACATAAAGAACCATGCAAAGATTGGCATATTGCACATAAACTTATTTCTGAAAAGTCAAGTGCAATTGATTCAAATGAAAATGTTGTATTGCAACTGAAAAATAAAGAAAAACCTACTAGCTTCAACCATCCAAGCTGTTCAGAAAGTCAGTTCAAATTTGACTCCAAGTACAAAAAGATACAAAAATCTAAAGAAAATCATGCACCACAAAAGTCTACAATTGCCACCAAAGAGAACAATGAAAGAAAAAACCCAAAAAAATCTATAATCAAATCAATTGAATTGAAGCATGAGCTGACCATACCAAACAATGGTAAAGAAAATCAAAGACTTGCAGGCCTTCCAGATTTAACTCCAGAACAAGAGAATTTAGTAGACACAGCACTTAAGTCAACACCTGCAGACAAAGTACTTATAGGGAAATATAAAATTAATATATTCAAGTTTGTATAGTTTTTTATTGATTTCACTTAAAACAAGTAGGTACTATGAAGAAAAGTTAATTCTTATTTGTATTTTAGGGAAGATTTGGAAACTCTATCAAGAGATAAGTGGTTGAATGATAAAATAATAAATTTCTACATGAACCTCATAATGCAGAGGAGTAAAGAACGCAAGGACTTGCCGAAGCTCTATGCTACCAATACATTTTTCTATCATAAGCTCAAATGTAGTGGATATAATGGAGTAAAAAGTTGGACGAAAGAGGTAATTAAACTATTATTACAATTTTATCAATTTTGGATCTTTGGTCACACAACTCTGCGTGATCCACTTTGGTTACAAACATACAAAGTATGTTAGTAGTATCTGAATAAAATATTGTATTTTGTAATATAATATTGTATTTTGTAGGTAGATATATTTGCGTACGACGTCATCGTGGTTCCAGTTTATTTGGGAAACCACTGGTGTGTCAGCTTCATAAATTTCCGAAAACGCAAAATTGAATATCTCGACAGTCGTGTGCAAAAAAACGACTCGCACACCTGTCTTGATGCACTGTTGCAGTATCTAAAGAATGAACATCAAGATAGGAAGGGGGTGCCTTTCGACGATAATGGCTGGGAGACGAAAGTCCGTGAAGTGAGTTTACAGCTTGAATGTAATTACCTACATGAGTGAACACCCTGTTTCTGAAAGGCTTGTCAACGCTAAAATTAACTAATCTTCTGTTAAATCTCTTGTCAAGTCATCTGGTTGGTTGTTGATAATTCAGTCAACCAATCAGATGACTTGACAAGAGAATTGATCGGCCTTTCGGAAACCAGAGGTGACAGTCATATCAGACCTGAACGAAGTTTACCGCTTCGTGGACTCGAATTGTTGCCACTAACTTTAATGCACCAAGCAGTTGCAATTAATGCTCATTCCTTACCCGTAATCACCAACTAGATCATCCCACTAACCAATCATCAAAAATAAGCGGAGCTAAGACCGCCGCTCCCCTAAATATCTACGTAATACTTGAAGGGACTTGCACTTACAGGCTGTTGATGTAAAGTGATGTAAGGATGGTAATTGTAACGTTCTTATTACAGGATATTCCGCAGCAAAGGAATAACTATGACTGCGGCATTTTTATGTGCACTTTCGTGGAGTTCTCGTCCCGTAATGCAGCCTACACGTTCACGCAGGCACACATGCCCTACCTGCGCCGCAAGGCCGCGCTGGAGATAATCACTGGAAAACTGCTACTCTAGTGATCTTAAAAATAATTTACATATAATTTATTATAAAGAATTAATTTTACTAGGTATTGGTTACAATGGATACTTAATCTGATGATAAGTTTCTAAAGAATGTACATGTCCTCAATAATATGCAATTGATATTATTTATTTATTCAACAACTCATTAAGAGGAGATAAGGTATATCTCCTCTACAGATTGTAAGATATGAATATGTGTGATGAGATTGTATCACATTAGATTTCTATTTAAGTGTAAAAGGTTTACTGCCTCAAAAATTTTCAAATTTTGGCTAGGCAAACATTTGTGCTGCAGAATTGATTCTGCATGAAGCAATTCTTTGTTTCATAAATTATTATTGCTGTGGTGCAGAAAGAGTGATGATATGTGATATAAACTTTTGTATGTTTATATAAAATGGACCCATGACAAAAGAGCCTTGTAGAGATCAGTGTTTTATAAAATGATAAAAATATCAGTTTATTAAATAAAATTTATGTTTAATAGTTAACAATAACTGAACCTGTACATAAATAATTAACAGTAAAGGAATAAACAACAAAATTACATAATGTAATCTAATTTGTAATATATCAACATAATAGATACCAAAAACAATAAAAAAATATTTAAATGAAAGTACTTATATCAAAAGCATATTTTATCAAATAAGTACAGTGTTTAAAAACAAGCTCTTTGGTTATTTTTAACTTAATTTCACTTAGTACTATTTTATTACTATTTGTCTTGATCATCTATATGTATATATATTTATTTTCAACAAAATCTACATGACTTCACTACCAAATTGTGCTAATATTACAATTTAACATCATAGTTGATGTTTAAACATGTCATAGAGAACTGAGCATAGCCTATAAAGTGGTAGACCAACCACAGTGAAGTAATCACCTTCCACACGCTCCACAAATGTACCTCCAACTCCTTGGATACCATAGCCTCCTGCCTTGTCCCTAGAAGTTCACAGATTATGAGATTACTAATAAGTACTAATTTAAAGACTGCTTAGTTGGTGCCGTGGCTATTCCAACTGACTGCAGTGCAATGTGTCTGATCCACAAATTGTTGTCCTGCATCTGGGTGTGATGTGTATGTGAAATTGAATGTTTGTAAATGCACCCATGACACAGGAGCAAATCCTAGTGGGGCAATATTTTATATCTATCTCTATTTATCAATCACTGCAATAAGTATAAAACTTTCTTTAAGCTATTACTTCTTTAAGCTTTGGCAAACATATATTAAAACTTACATAGGTTCTCCAGTTGCTATGTATCCTCTGATTTGCTGTTCATCCATATTACCAAAGAAAACATCAGTTCTCTCTGTGAACTTTACAATTTTGTCTGACGCCTTAATAACAACTCCAGTATACACAGTGTGGCCTCTGCCTGAGAGACTAAAACCAAAAATTTGACATTTAGAAATGACAAAAGCATTATTGAGTTTAATAAGGATGCATATTATTTGCAGGTATTTTTAAGTGAAGATAAATAAAGGTTTACCGAGTTAACATCTCAAAAGCTTCTGCCTCTGAAGTAGGTTTACCAAACATCTCTGCACCTAAAGTTACCATTGTGTCAGCCCCTATAACTACGTCGGGTTTGTTTCCTTCTGCTGTTAATCTTGTCTCAACTTCTAAAACCTTTTGTAATGCTGTTTCTTCAACAAATTCACCAAAACTTTTAAATGCTTTTGGATCCAGATTCTCTTCAAATAATGATGGACACAGACCCACTTTGAGACCCTGAAAACGTGAAAAACATGTAATAAATTTTCTTCTTTTAATGATGATCGATTGAACTACTAGTGTTTATATAGTATGAATTAATATTCATTAACATTTATTTGGCTTTTCATCCACACACACCAACTTACAATATTTTCGATAAGTTCTTTGCGTCTAGGTGATCCGCTGGCTAATATGATATTTTTTTGTTTCAAAACATGCATTATTGGTTGCAACATTTTTACTTGTTAAGCAGTATTTATTAGTCAACAGAAAATTTAAGTATGGCTCCTTGTTAATAATATTTTAATGTAAAAAATTACAAGTAAACAAATACACGTTTTCTTGACATATCAAATTCAAAACCTACTATGACTTTGATTGAAGTAAACTGTCACACAACTACTCGTTGTTTATGGAGGCGAACGAGCATAGTTACCTATCACTTCTTCATACTAAACGATCAGCGCCGTCCATGAATCTCTCACAAATCTGCTCACTCTCATCAATAATATTATAAATTTCCTCCAAGAGAAAGTGAGTTTTTTTACATAGTTCGGCAAACAAAAAACGGATTACCTAATGATAAGCATGTACACCCGCAACACCTAAAGGGAGTTACGTTACGGGTGTGTTTCCAGTAATTAGGATTAGGTATCCGGGCATTCGTTCGGGGATTGGGAAAGGATGGGATTTAGCCTCCGGTAAACTCACTCACACGGACACTCAACGAGTGTGATTGTTATCTCAAGATGTCACTTCCATTAAACCAACCTATCCGTGCCGAAGCCTGGCTGTCCCGCACATATACAAGATCATACATCATTATGCAGTGGTGTATTATGTGTGTGTGCGGTGCGCCGGCTGAGTGGCGGTGCGCCGGCTGAGCGGCAAGAATATCGCCCCAGGACCTGACGGGCTGCATGCCAAGGTCTGGGTCCTGGCCTCGGAGGCTCTCAGGCCTCGACTACTTGGTCTGTTCAGCGCATGTTTGGAGAGAGGCCAGTTTCCGCTGTCGTGGAAGACGGGTAAACTGGTCCTCGTGAAGAAGCCGGGGCGTCCTGCGGACTCCCCGTCCGCGTACCGGCCCATTGTGCTGCTCGACGAGGTGGGAAAGCTGTTCGAGAGGATAATCTCAGACCGCCTCGTCGGGCACCTGTCTGGAAGGGGGCCGGATTTAGCGGACGGCCAGTTCGGCTTCCGCAGAGGGCGCTCCACGGTGGACGCCATCATGCGCGTGAGGGACCTCACGACGGGGACAGCGTTGGCCGGGAGGCGAGTCGTCGTGGCGGTGTCTCTGGACATCGCCAACGCCTTTAACTCGCTGCCCTGGAGCTGCATTTTGGAGGCACTCCGGTATCACCGGGTGCCTGCCTATCTCCGTCGTGTAGTCGAGGCTTACTTGACGGACAGATGCGTCATCTACCCCGGTCACCGGGGCGTGTGGAATCGGCGAGAGGTGTCGCGCGGTGTCCCACAGGGATCGGTCCTGGGACCTCTCCTGTGGAACATCGGGTACGATTGGGTGCTACGCACCGACCTCCCGAGCGGCGTCAGCATTGTCTGTTATGCTGACGACACGCTGGTGCTGGCGAACGGGAGGTCGCATCAGGCGGCGGCCGACCTGATGTCACAAGCGGTTGCGACAGTCGTTGCAAGGATCCGGCAGTTGGGACTCGAGGTGGCGCTCCACAAGTCCGAGGCCATGTGCTTCTATGGCCGTCGGAGCGCGCCACCTCCAGGTGGGTCCCAAATAACGGCAGGAGGAGTTACCATCGGCGTCGAGTCGGCGATGAAGTACCTGGGTCTCGTCCTCGACAGCCGATGGAACTTCACGGAGCATTTTCGTCGTTTGGCCCCTAAGTTGGAACGGTCTGGGGCCTCGCTCAAGCGGCTCCTTCCCAACCTCGGGGGGCCAAACGCCTCCTGCCGGAGGTTGTATATGGGGATTGTGCGATCCATGGCCCTCTACGGTGCCCCTGTGTGGGCGCCGGACTTGAAGCGGCGGCCGGCTCGTACGCTGGTCGCGTCCCAGAGGGTCATGGCTATACGAGTAATCCGCGGGTATCGCACGATCTCCGGGGAGGCGGCGAACCTCCTTGTCGGATCACCGCCGTGGGATCTAGAAGCGAAGGCGCTCGCGAGCGTCTACAGTTTGCGCGCAGACGCGCGTCGCCGGGGCGAAGATCCTCTGCCGCGCCAAATAAGTGCGTGGCGGAATGAGCTCCGGCGAGATCTCATGGCAGAGTGGAGACAACGACTGTCGCAACCGAGGGCCGGGCACGCTACCATAGCAGCGGTAAGACCCCTCTTTGAGGAGTGGCTTGAGAGACGCCACGGCGTCCTCACCTTCCGTCTGACGCAGGTGCTTACCGGGCACGGCAGCTTCGGTAGGTTCCTGTTTCGGATTCAGCGGGAGGAAACGCCCGAGTGTCGTCATTGTGAGGACCACCTAGAGGATACGGTGGAGCATACGGTAGCGGTATGCCCTGCCTGGGCTGAGCACCGCCGTATCCTCAGGGAAGTGATCGGCGGCGGCGACCTCTCGCGCCCGGCCTTAGTCGAGGCCATGGTGCGGAGTGAGAGGAACTGGGACGCCGTCTCCTCCTTTTGTGAAGCAGTCATGCTCGCAAAGAGAGAGGCGGCCCGCGTGAGGGAGCAATCCTCCTCCTCACGCCCCAGCAGCCGCAACTGGCGACACTACGGGCGTCGGGGATCGAGGGACGATCTCCGGCCACCGTAAGTACGGGCCTGCGGTCGGCGAGTAAGGGCAGCTCGCCGCCCGACCAGAACCAGGCCCGAGCGTACGGCGCGTAGCGTTCCGCGCGCGCCTCAAAGAGCCAATAGACCACCACAGACGGGGCCCTAAAGGGCTGATGTTCAGCCGGGGTTGCGGGGTAAGCGCAATGAGGTACCGCGACCTCGGCACAGAGCAGGAGAAGGAACAGGGGGGTTTTTAGTCAGTAAGAGTCTGACACTCCCTCCTGCCCGGCCCTGGGCGGGAGAAGTCATTTGATGATTTTCCCCTCACAAAAAAAAAAAAAAAAAATGTGTGTGTGCCAAAATGTAGCATGGTAAGATTCACACCTTATCCGCTATGCACCTTGAGCTAGAGACTACTCACCCACATGTTATACCCTACTAATAGTTGACAATCCGTCTTTTTATTTTGCTTTCAGATATCCAGATTTATTATTTATTTTGAAAAAATCCTAGATTGGAAATTATTTGACATATTTAGATCGAATAATAAAAAATAAATAATCTTAAAAATTACCACGTCGGATTCGACTATACTGACAACAAAAATATACTAATTTTAGCAGCTGGTGGGTTACCCTATTGTTGTAATAGAAAAAACTTTATCTATGGTTATGGTGTTGTACAGTTGTCTTGTATTGAGGTTGTGTAGCGTTTTTTGCCATTTTAGTTAGAAAAGGCGACGAAAATAGGTGATGGAAACATAATTCATTGAAAATGAAGTCCGTAGTGGCTTATGTGCGTAGTCTTCTGGGTTGGTGTGATGAAACTCCACCGATAAGAGCAAGCTTCAAACGAGACAGGTATGACATGACATTCATGTTTACAACATTCGTTATGGCGGCAAAGTCGATGTAAAATAATTCGTACTACTGTGAAGAAGTGTTACAAAATGTTTGTGGTGCCGTTAAAAGTGGCGTCCAAGTTCTGGAAGTGGGTCATTGTGTTTTTAAGTAGAAGAATTACACTGTGACTCGCAAAGTTAACACGTTTTGTTGGTTTTCAGGGCCGACGATGAATTGTCGTCCGACGATGAAACACCGGCCCTCAAGAGACTCAAGCAACTAAATAGAACGAATTTCCCAGACATCATGGCCTCAAATGGTATTTATTTACACTTATTACAACTAAAGTCGTGTTTGGTAAATAGAAGACTAACCTAATATGTCTTCCCTCAAACATGTAGTAGCGACCGTGTTTTGTTGCGCAAAATAATTGAAACTATGTGATAACTAGATATTCCTATTATGATCACAGTCCGCAGTTACAAATTACTTCAAAAATATCCTTCCTACTTTCACAGATGACTGGGAGAAGCAGGAAAAACAGAATAAAAATATTAGGTATATACCAATACAAATAGAGGGTCACCCTAGTACTTCCACACCCAATGAGACCCTAAATAAGAGCAGAGTTAGGACAGTACCTATCCAGTTGGTGGGTATGTCGGAGAATGGCCCTGTCATTCCTTCGGGAAAACCTAGGAAACACACACCAGTGAGACCTGTGATACATGCATTAATAGATGACGAAAATGATGACGCTGATGTGAGTATAATTATGAATGCTACTCATATTAAGTATTGTTATTTATCATGTTTGGCCATTATAATTTATTTTATAAATTTTTGGTTTACTTATTAGTGTGCTCTGCTTTGGCACTAAATTATAACAATTCAATTTTAATATGTTCTGAATTATCTAGTTAAAAATGTGTTTAAAATTTCCATAAATTTTAGGTGACCTGGGTAGAGTCAAAATCTGAGAACCCACTTAAAAAGCCAACTAAAGTATACATTGATTTAGACGAGGAGGATGATCATCATGACAAAAATCAGCAAGAAGATGATGTTATCTTTGTTAAGAAAGTATCAACCCCACCCCCATCTAGACCATACAAATACTTCCTTAGTAAAAATAGCCATGATACTACTGATGGATCTGTGGAAGAACCAATTCTTTACAAGTTAAGTCGAAAACCAACAGAACGGAACATGATGAATATGTCACCCAAAACATTTACGAAATTCAAAGCCCCTCCTGGCATAACCAAGTCATACAAAAAGACACCAACTCCTCTAGCAAGATGGATGCAACCTTCAAAACCAACAATATCGAATCTCTCATCATTTTCTAGAAATAGATATTTAGGTCTCAATGGTAACTCTAGGTCAGCAATTTCAGAAGTATTTAATTTAAATGAAAAGAAAAACTACCAAGAACTTATTCGAAGAGTTGCAGCTTCAATGAAACCAATGGCGACAGGGAAACCAATTGATATAGTGAATCTAGCTGATGATGCTGCTTCCTTCAGACTAACACAGAAAACACAAAGAAATGCTCTGAATGAAATTAAATTAGTAGAAAAAGGATTAGCTGCTGAGAGAGACAATGATGCATCAAAGGAATATGATCCTATCACAGTGGCTTCCATTAATTCATCTGATTCAGAAATAGAAATAGTTCCATCAGAGTCATCCACTACATCCTCTCAGAGGATTGACCCTATAAATACATTAAAAGACTCATATAGAGACAAGGCCATTACTGCAGGAGATTGGCTTTTAAAATTAGAATCAAAATACAAGAAAAAGCGACAAGAGACTCAGGCAAAACTAAAAGATGCAACGCGGGAGTCTGATATCATATCTAAGGTTAATAGTGAACAAAATATTGCACATCTAGAACATAAACTGAAATATGAGCTGAGTATACCAGAGAGTCTGTTTGAGGAGCCACAGCCTACTGTTGAGCTGCCTGCTCTGACACCAGAACAAGAAAACTTAGTGAACAGAGCTATAGGCCCAGGACCTCCAGGACAAATGCTTGTAGAGAAATTTAATTTGAGGATACACAGGTAAGCCAATGATATATTGCTAACTCTAATTTTATTCTTGTCTAAGTATATGAGAATTGAAATGCATAGACAATATCCAATTATATTAATCTTCATTAATATTACACCAATTTATACATTTATTACAAACATTTCAGGCGGGATCTGCAAACTCTATCAGGTCTTAACTGGCTGAATGATGAAGTAATAAACTTCTACATGAACCTGCTAATGCAGAGGAGTGAGGAACGAAAAGACTTGCCCAAGGTGTATGCCACTAACACATTCTTCTATCCTAAGCTCATGCAAAGTGGACAGGCTGGACTCAGGAGGTGGACCAGAAAGGTAGGACACAGATTTTATTATTAAACCTTTTTTGCATTCACATGACATGATAACACACTGACTGACTGATCAGTCTACTATCGACCACACGGAATAGAAAATACAGTGGAAGTGCCCCTCAGACATCGCGCGCTAACCAACATGATGACTAGATATGTATACTGCCGTGGTATATCTATAATGCCGTTATCTGCTAAAGTCATTTTTTTTAATAATACAAAAAAACCGCGGCAAATTTTTAAACCGATGTAAGTTTTCGATTACAACACATATTAGAGATTTGAAAGTACCAAAACATAGATGAAATCGTATACTTTCGAACTACTTACCCTATCATATCGTAAATATAATTCAATGTCATGAAAAAGCGTTTTTTGTGTTTTAGTTTAACAGAGATGTAACCGAAAACATAATGGATCATCGACTAAAACGCCGCTGCGTATAGCGTAACGGCGTTTAAGTGTATCTATTTCATAGCAAATTATTGTTTTTTAAAATGCTAAATTTCATCACTTCAATGATTAACTAAAATGTTGTTATTTGCACATAACGACAATTTAGCTTACGATTACTATATTACAGAACTGATTCATATTAAACTTTAGTGCGTTTAACGTTACTTTACTGCTTTTAAGTCTGGTAACCTATATATGCGTATTAATTAAAAGGATAAACTTTAATAGTTGTTTAGCTAAAACGTGGTTTAACTAAAAACCTTACAATTTAACGACATTATAGCGTAATATTTAAAAAAATATTTTATAAATAAAAGTCATAATATTATCAATCAACTAGTCTTTATTGACAATATTTCTTTATTGTTTTTATAAAAATAAGTAATTATGCTTAAACTTATAACTTTCACAAAACTTTACTTAAAATTATTATAGATTTTTAGGAACTTTCAAACAAGAATCACATCAGTTATTTAGCAATATAATTATGTACTACTTGTACTTTAAAATACGAAAACAAAACAAAATTTATAGACAAACTTCAGTCTTTCATTAAACCTTAGATAACAAACAATCAAAACTAAGTCTTATCTTCTCCTTGAACTCAAAACTTTACATTTCTACTACTTATCATTTAAAAAACAATCATCAACTGAAAAACAAAAACAAAAAACAATTTTCCTTATTTAAATTTTTAGTTCTTACTTTTTACCTACATTTATTAATACCTTTTGGATAAAATTTATATATTCTTAAAAATACAGTATTCAAAATAGTATCACAGTTACATTACAAAATTAAAAAATATTATTTAGTTGAAATCAGTCTCAATAAACTGGCACTACTCTATATTATTATTCTAATCAGAACTTGTACCGGACTGTTCAATTTCTCTTGTCGGTAAGTTTTTCCAAAATAACAATTTGTGAGGGGGAATTATGTTCGATAGGTTTTTAAGTAAATCTGCTTTCCTCTTAGGTTCGATACCTTTCGGTTCGGTTCTAAATTTAAATACCATTGTACGTGGGTTTTTTAAATATCTATCATTCATGAAACGAAGGGTTGTATATGCATCATCGAAATTATTTTTATACATGAGATCATAACTTTTACGTACGAAACATACCTCAACTATATTTTTTAAATAAGCTCTTGGATTGGATGTTTGAATCCTTCTTTGGGACACATAGTTAGGTATATTTAAAAAGTTTTCTGGCAACATAGACTGAACGATGACTTTTGATTTATTTATGGATGATACACACTCTTCGAAATCTGTAAAATCGTAAAGCTTACCCTTTTTCTTCATAGCCAACTCTACCTGGTGATGCACTTGATCGCAGCTCATAAAAGTGTGGCCGGGTTCGAAGTAATATAGAGTTATTCTTTGTGTGGCAATATCTTCACTATTAATCATATGAGTGAGCATTGCATACAACAACCAATTTTTATTTTGTGAGCTACAGTTATCGAGCCAGATGTGTACTTTTTCAACATCTCTGTTACGCAATAGAAAATTATAAAATGCTGACATTATATCTTCTTGCCTTCTCCCTGCAATGCCATCATGCCAGATAACTGTCAGGGGTTTTAATTCTGCGGTAATCTTACCAAGTGGTGCAAAGGTTTGATTGTAAGCTGAAAGCCGTAGACAGAAAATTGCGGCTTTAAACATCTCCAATCTAGGCAACATAATTACTTTCTCTAGATCAGAGCTGTAGAATATCTGTGTATTATTTTGTGTTTCATCCTTATGTTTTTGGTATAGATCTCGCGCCTTTGTGTATCGTTGTCTATGATAACTCCAATCCACACAAACTGTACAGTTTTCAAGTATCTGGACTGTGGCGTCATGTGATGTTTCCTTTTTGTGGAAATTATAACTTTCGCACAATTCACATTCCTCGTTACCGAGGGCGGTAAAGGATATTTTCATATTTTTTAAATGTGATCTATATAAGCTGTACGAAACTTGTCTATCCGGGTATGTCTCACAAAAATGTTTATGCATTTGAGTTATATTTACATCACTTGGTAGATATCGCCTCAAAGGTGCATGTTCACGTCTATAGTGTGGTTCTAATGGATTAAACGATTCAACGTGCTGATTCAGTAAATCGCGATCAAATGCTGGTGTTTTCTGGTGTTTACCACGTTTATCTATTGAAGAATCAGTAAAAGTTGGATGTAGTATCCTGTCATTATTTTTCAAATATCCTAGAGTGGTAAGGAAAAATATTTTGCATACATCTTTTCTAGTGCCATCTTGTTTTTTCAATACAAAATTTCTTCTTGGATTCCTTTTGGGTTCACTCGTAATTTTTCTTTTTGGCACTGCTACGTAGGTGTGTGCTTCAACAAATGCATGCTGCTCCTGCCATGACATATCCCAGTATGATTTATTAATAGCCTCTCTATCCTCTTGGTTAAGTAGGGTCATACATTTCTTAAGGCACTTTTCATTGCACCCAGGTTTGACACAATGTTCCCTCTTTTTTTTATTTTTGGCATCCAATCTCCGCTGTTGTAACGGGGTGTTATGTTTCATTCTTTTGCGTGGTAGTTGTAGTATATCTGACAATGTAGAGCAATAATTGCCATCAACGGATTTACAGCGCTTTCGGTGACATAGTCGCTCGGGCGTAGATTCCTTACAAGTACCAATAGAGTTTCTACGTCTACTCTTCAAATTAAAGAACATCCTATCTTCGTTATCCACAGGCAATATGGAACAGTGATTACCATTATTAGTTTTCATTGTTTTCTTCTTTGTTTTTCTTCCACTTTCAGGTACATCAGACATGTGGCTTTCTGAGGAATCAGATGGACAGTAATCTTTGTCAATAACGGAGTCGTCTGAATCAAAATCAAGAGGACTATTTTCACATGTTCCTTCCATATTTAATGGGATTTCTTCATCAAGCGGTGAAAAATCAAGTGGTAACATTAATTCGTTGCATGTTAAATCTATTTCGGTAGAATTTACAGTATTTTGATGAGGAGAAATTTTAAATTCGTTGAATAGAGACTGTGTACTTAAACTCAAAAGATGATGTGAATTATACGTAACTTGCGTCTCGCAAAATGTATCGAAAACGGTACTGGTCATAGAATAGGGTTCCGCGTATATTCTGTTAATAAACTCAGTCAGATCAGGGCCAGGTTTTGTTTTAGGTTCGGGTTGTTTCGGTTTTATCATATCCTGAGCAGGGTCAGGTTTTCTTGTAGGTTTGTATTGGTTTGATTTTTCCTCCTTAACCATATCTAAAATAGTTTGGGCTCTGCTCCCAGAGTTTCTGTAACAAAAAAAATAAATGCTGAGTGTCTGTACCTAGGTAAATGTATGTAAATGTTTAAGCAACTATCTCATGAACATATTGTAACAAAATCATGCCTGACAATTTGATCATCTGAACATATTATAATGCGATAAAAAATAATATTCAGATTGATTTACAAGTTTTTACGAGAAACAAAACAAACTTTATTATAAATAATATTAGTAGGATTTACTAGCAAGCAAACTATTTTGTATGTTTATTTCAATAAAAGTGCAAATGTAAAGTAGGTACCTTACCTATTCATGAACTAGAGTAAATAACAACTAACTTACCTAAATTGGTGGTTCGCCATATCGCGATCGTTGCAAAATTGGCGGGAACAAACCCGGAGCGACACGCGTCCTCACCCACAAGCTCCTGGCGATGCACTAGTTTCACCCCCGCCCCTTGATTTCGGTAAAGGATCGTTACGTAGCCGGTGTCCCCCCGCCCCGCGCGAGATCAGTTAACGGCTTTGTAGTGTATTAGTGTGAGATAACGTCTTTTTAGTCTAATAATGACGGACAATACATTTTTGATTAGTTTTGTAAGTGCCGCTAAAGGCTTCTACGTACATTAAATTAAAATATGAGTATCTCAAAAATGAAGCAATAATGCCGTTAAACATCGTTAGTCAAGTTTAAGTCTAACATTTTCAATTAACGACGTTATAGTTTAAAAAAAGCGAACTACTTTATTAAAAAAAAAATATCCTATAAAACAGTTACAGTACCTTAACTGCTTTGTAGTGTACAAAGGACTGCTAACGGCAATTAAGACAAGTAACCATATAGACTTTTTGTGATAAAAATATGTGTTAATGAACCTTAGCGGCTTTATAGACTCATAAAGTTACTTAATGTCATTTTTGCTTATTTCACACGTGAGAAATATGTACTTAACGGCATTTTTTAAATTATTATTTTCAAAACTATTCAAGATATTAAAAATTCGCAAACACAGATCGATAGATCTTTTTTTACTCATTAATATAGCATCAAAAGTTGAAAATCGACCAGATGTTGGATAACGGCATTTTAGTTATACCACGGCAGTATATCTAGTCATCATGTTGGTTAGCGCACATTTGTTGTCAGAATCGTTCGATCCGTTGTCATGATTGGTTGTCATGGTTGTCTCTAAGAAACACGAAATATATTAGAAATTATGCCTTGTTGTGCGGTTTTTAACTGCAAAAAAGTAAGCAGAAAAAAAGATGAGTCTTGTGCTTGTGGTGGTGTATCGTATCATCTTTGAGTATTAACCTTTGTTAATTTTAAATATATTAGATTTTAATGTAAATATCACATTTCATTACTTTAATGCAAACTATAAAGGGCCTTATTTTCATTACAATTAAGTTTAAATCTACTTGTTCGTTATGTGACGTTATATACAATACATTCTAGTAGTTTCGACGCTACTCATTTAGGGATGCGACATATTCGTAAAATAGGTTCATATCGATAATTTTTCATCATCATCGTTCAGAAAATTGATTTTTGACAATTTTTGTGTATAATTCATAAATGTTTAACTAAGATTGCATAGACACATCAACGTTTTAACCACACACAGCGTGCATCCGTCTGTGGTAGGTGCGGGTGGTTAATCACCATTTTTATTTTATAACTAGTTTTCGCCAGCGGCTTCGCCCGCGTGCTGTGTTGATAAAAAGCAGCAAATAGCAAGAGAACAAAATCTAAGTATACATAAAATTTGGTATTTATCGTCTCATTTTTATACATCTCCAATGGGTAAATACCCTATTACTTACTAAGTCTCCGCAGTCCGTCCGTCAATAGATAGAAAAGTACGGATCTAACTAATAGGTAAGAGTTACAAATATTTGATAAAACCTATATTATATTATATTTTATACCGCATCGTGTCGAGCACGGCAACCGCTACACAAAAATAATTCTTATACCATGATTCAGTGTTCACTTGCGACGGCGCTATGTCTTATTATCCGAATTGCTAAGCTATCAGGAATTACACGTGCTATTGTGAGTTAACCATAAAAGATAGACATATGCTGTAAAACATTTTTTTAGACAATTTTATTTAAAATATTTCCGTCATACATAATTTCTATGTAAGTTTAACCATTAAGGTTACACACGCGACTGAAACTTACAAAAGGGAGTAACTTCTCCCGTTTTCCCAACATTTTCCTTCACTGCTCTGCTCCTATTATTTGTAGCGTGATGAAAAGTATCCTATAACCTGCCCAGGAGTATAAAGAATAATTGTACCAAGTTTTGTTAAAATCCGTCGAGTAATTTTTGTTTCTATAAAGAACATTCAGACAGACAGACAGACAGACAGACAGACAGACAGACAAAATTTTTACTGATTGCATTTTTGGCATCAGTATCGATCACTAATCACCCCCTGGTAGTTATTTTGAAAATATATTTAATGTACAGAATTGACCCCTCTACAGATTTATTATAAGTATAAATGTTGTACATGATTTTTATCAGAGTTCCAAAAAGGAGAGTGACTCTCAATTCGACTGTAACATTTTTTTTTGTTTTTTTCGTCTCCGTTATTTATGAACCGATTTTAATGATTCTATTTTAGGAAAGGAGATAAAACTGGTAGGAGCGCGTAGTGCTTTTATATGTTAAAATCGAAATCTTTAATAATAACTTGACCATCTCCAAAAAACATTAAATCTTCAAAAAATATGTTAATATTTTTCTTTTTTTTTATTAGAACCTTTTTCATTACTGATCATTTGTAGGTATGTCGTGTCGATAAATTATATTGCTCACACGAATACAAAAACATCGATATATTGGGATACCCTGCCCTATCTGAGTAGCAAAATAGTAAATGTCTATTGGTACAAGTGCATACAAATATGACATCTATTTCAAAGAAGTTAGCGTTTTGAATAGAATGAATTTGTTACAGCGCCATCTAGCGTTGAGTGGCTGAACCCGTTTGTAAATTGTTTTATTTAAGTTTTTTACACGATAGACGCCTTTATTGATTGTGACATGTGAAACAATAACAACTTTCGCTCATTGTTATAAGACTCAATTTTTAACAACATTTAGAAGATGATTTGCTAAAGTTGCGTTTCATGTTTTTACCCAATTATATAGCTGTTTTTTATGTGTGTTATGGACAATTTGATTTGCGAATGTGTGATTTTGGCGACACTGGTTTTCCTTTTGAAAGAGTGTAGGGGCACTTCTACTTAATTTTCTGTTCTGTGATCGACCACAACCTGTGCAACCAGGTTGAAAGGTATTTAAAGAAATACTTTCGCATTAATACCCTCTTTATTAATTTATTATATTATGTTACCATGAAATGCGAAAGTTTAAAAGTTAGCATAGCAAACATTTTTGCATTATTCCCTACTAGATGATGATTCGAAAATAATTCCTCAATTAAAATGTTTTAGGTGGACATATTTGCGCACGACTTGCTAGTGGTTCCCGTGCACTTGGGCGTGCATTGGTGCCTCAGCATAGTGGACTTCCGCGCAAAAAAGATCAACTACCTAGACAGCATGGGGGGCCGCAACCAGGCCTGTTTGGATGCACTTCTACAGTATCTCAGAGACGAACACCAAGACAAAAAGGGAGCACCATTTGATGACAATGGATGGAAGACAGAATGCCTTAAGGTACTTAAAAAAATTCATCTACTTAATATTAGAATGTTGATGTTGAATGAAGTTTCCAACTAGAAATTCAACACTTTTATTGACAACAAATGACGTCATAATGTTTGACGCTAAATATCATACTTATTACGGAAAAATTTGCTAGAAAAGTCTATCATCAAATCTATGAGGCTTCCGGCGACTGGGACCACAAAAACTATTTATTTCTATTATCATTAACGAGTGGTGCCAGTCACCGGATGAAAATTATTAAATTTTTATGGATCATCGCTCGAGATTTTGTGGTCCCAGTAGCCGGAGGCGTCAAATCTTGTACTGAATAGTCAAAACAAACATTTTTTGACCTAGGACTACCCAATTATTTTTCATATGTTCTATAAACACGTTTAAACACCGCATTTGCTATTGCAGGGTTTGTATTAAACTCATGACAGAATTTCTTACAATTCCCATCCTCTTTCACAGGACATTCCACAGCAGATGAATGGCAGTGACTGTGGCATGTTCGCATGTACTTTTGCGGAGTTCTCGTCCCGTAATGCGGCCTACACGTTCACGCAGGCACACATGCCCTACCTGCGCCGCAAGGCCGCGCTCGAGATACTCACTGGAAAACTGTTGCTCTAGACGAGCATCATCGGGTGTATCTCCATGTTAGTGATCTATTTATTTTATTTGCAAAGGTGTGTGTATTGTGTGTTATATGTAACTGTACTGTACTAAACAGTTCTTAAGTGGTGTTTCCTCGTGAAAAGTGTCGTAAGGTTAAGTTGGATATTTGGTGATCTCTAGAAGAAACCTGTGTTGTATATAATTCATTTTGTTTATGATGTTTTTGTTGTTGTATTTGTTCTTGCGAGTTTTGCAGAAACAATTGGCAAAAAATGTAAAACATTCATTTGTAAATAGATTCATTTTAATGTTCCAAAATGAATATTAAAGAATGTTAAACTAATGTAAATAAAAGAACATTTATGAATATTTTACTGTGTGGACAAAGAATGAATGTTACAGATACCCCATCATCACTACTGATCATAACTCATTCTGAGAACAAGTAAGAGAATACACATTAACAATCTTTAAAATAAGACAACGCCAATTTAAATTAATAAAACTTTAATGATACATAAGAAAGTATGAGAAGATTATTATAAATAAAATGTAAAATAAATAAATCACTAACAAATATAAAATTTTAACATGAAACAAATGGACATATTGTCAGTTTTAAGTCTGAGATGATTGTTTATAATATAATAAGTAAGTGAAATGCTGGTTATATTTAAAATTTGAATTTATTTGTATAATTTCATCAGTAGAATCTTCTAGTTTATGTGGGTTATGTATGTTGATTTTCAAATTCATTAGTTAATAGTTGTCCAAATAACCCATTACAAATGCCACATTTTTGCCTAAGATTTAATGTCAAGGCTATGAATGGGTGTTGTTTAAGTCTTTAAAAATACGTATGCGGACCTTATAAAGATTCGAAAAGTTAAGTAAAATAACTCTTTATGTACATACAATATCTTCCATTCCCTTGTAAGTATAAGAACCAGAAGTTTAATTACTTAAGTCTTTTATAGTTATGACTTAGTAAGAACACAATTGCAACTTTGTTTCTACATGAACATGAACTTATTTAAGGTACTGTTATAACTACAGATTATGTTTTCACAATTAATTTTGTGCAATCTGGTGCAGGCTTCACTTTAAAGCATTTCATATATTTCAATAAATTGGTTTTACTGCCCTACCCATTCTTGCATTAAAACAGTATCGAAAAGCCAGTTATAGTGTGTACTGTCACCAGTCATGAGAGTACCACTATTTATCTCCAAGTTCCCATGACAAAAAGACAAGTGCAAAGGATAAATTATTATTAACTTTATGATAAAAAGTATATTTTATTTTCATTGTATTAATGAATGTGAGAATGATGAACAATATGTGGTCTTGTAGATATATAATAATAAAGGTAGGTAGGGTGTGATGCATGGTTTTCCAAGTGTTTGGGCAGAATTATTAATTTAAATGTACTATAATTTTGTATTTAAAGTGCTATGATAATAACAGTCTGGTATTACAATATTTAATTTTGTAGAATTAATTAGAGATTTCACTTCGAATGACGTCACCTTAAAGCGATATGACGATAATAAATTATGGTTACAAGAAATCTATGATTATACTTTATAACAAATAAATCTTCATTCCTATTTTCTTATCTTCCTAGAAGAAACTAAATGCGCGTTTTCTATTTTCAGTTCACAATTATTATGTGTAAGTATGATTGAAGGGAAGTTTGTCTTTTTGTCATGGTGACAACTTAGGCTTAGCGTTAAGTATCTGTCTGTATTATAAAAAGTATAGTTAAGTTAAACTAACTTAATTCATAATAATTATAAATTAGACATTTTGTTTCGCCTGCAAAAGGCTCCGAAGTTTTCTAAGTGATGAAATAATAAATAAAAGAAAATTGAAATCACTTTGCATTTTAATTGTTTCTCAAGAAAGACGAATCTAAACTGGCACAAATTTCTCTTAGGCCATAATGGATATAACTTACTCGTGTGGTGTAGGTACCCGGCCCCGGCCCTTGAATTAATCAGTGTTGACCCGCATGAGCCTCAGTTTCCCTCCCTCCAGCAATGCGACACCAGAATCATTGGTGCCACCGCAGTAGTGGAATGATGAGAAGACTGACACAAGACGACCGCGAAGTTGACACTATTAAAAAGTAAATTACTTCTAAGACATATCTAGCGGGAATAGAAAATAAACACTTTGGTACTAATGAAAAAATAAAGACTGATTTTACCATAAATCCATTCTGGTGCATCTCATGTGCTCGCACTACGTGTGAGAGCTGGTTGGCCATCAAGAAGTGGTCCAGCGCCGTCTGGTCGAACACGTGGCCTGTACCACGCTTTGTGTTGGCGGCAAATCCTTCGTTCGAGGTCAGCTCTAGTTGCAGGGTCGCTGTTATTTTGTTTGGCCTGGAGAAAATCCATAATATACTTAGATACTTAAAGGAACTTTGTACAGATATATCTTAAACCGCGGGCCCAATCCCTCCCTCTAACCCCATCCCTTCCCAATTCCTAAATATCCGAATCCCTTATCCCCAAAAGGCCGGCTTCGCACTCGTAACTCCTTTGGTGTTGCGGGTGTCCATGGGCGGCGCCGATTGACCATTACCATCAGGTAAATCGTCTGCTCGTTTGCCGAAAAGTAAATGGTTCTTCTAATACGGTAGTTTTCAACTAGGTAGTCAAATTCAATACTTTTATCCAAATGTCAAAAACGATACTTTTGTATGAAACACTGAGTTATGACGTCATAGTATTTTTGCGTCAAATTGCTTACTTATTTCTGAAGTTAGCCAATTAATATCTAAGATTTAGTGAAGTGTAAGAATAAAAGTATAGTTATTTTTCAATATTTTATTGTATTGAAACGTAGAATTAATTTATTTTCGACCTATATAGGAAACTACCCAATTGCTTTATACTCACTTCACAGGGTCGTTCCACAGTAGCTCCCAGGCAATAGAACTCTGTTCGGCGGGTCTCGTTAAAGGTACGGGCACTTTGTCGATTGCGGATATGAGAGGACACACCCATGGCGGAGGAATTCCTCCATGACAGCAAAATACCTGTCCAGATGTAGCATGGCTATTAACAGTTACCTAACCTAAGTTAAATGGATTAGGTAGGTAATTCAACTTGTAATTAATTAGGGTACTTTGTCGTCAATGACAGCAGCCAGCGGGAGTACGTCGAATACATTGTTTATAGCATTCCACACCTTCTGCCCTTCATTTTCGCCATACTTGGCTAGGCACTCACTGTAACAGTGGAAGAGTAAATGAGTAGGTAGGTACCGATAGTCCTAGATAGGATTAAGGCAAACAAAATAAAAGTAATGAATGAAAGCCTACTTGTAGAAGGTGAACATCTTTTGTATGTCCCGTGTCTCGTGGTTCCCGCGCACCATGAGCACGGCTTCGGGTCGCTGTAGCTTGGCAGCCAGTAGGTATGCCATCAGTTCGGTACCGTGTGGACCGCGGTCCACGTAGTCCCCGAGGAACAGGATGCGCGCGGCCGCCAGCGCCGGGCCTGATGGCCACAGCGCAGCCTCCATCGTCAGCAACGCGCTCAGGTTGCCGTGCAGGTCACCTGCAACGCACGTCGCAATACTTAGATAGACTACTTAAACAACAGTTTACATGTCATCGAATAGCACTACATAACATTATAAAAAGTTCTAAATGTGTGGAATACATACCTACATAGGTACTTACCTATATCATCAATCTATAAATCTTACACCTGCTCAGAGTGCTGCTGCAGAGTGGTAGGCAGCAGCATGGAACACCAAATGAAACGATTCTTGCCTTCCTCTTTTGCGTCTTTTCACATTTTTTTGTTAACGCTCTTCGACTGCGGCTAATTTTTATAATAAAACAAAAGTAGGTAAATCGACAATTATAAAATAAAAGTCACCGACGGCATACACTGGCGAGGACAGGCGCAGCAATCGCGGCTCGTTAGCACAGATAGGTTGGACGGCTTCAGCCAGCCGCAGTAAGAGAGAGCCAAGCGTCGCCTCCTCCGCCGGCGAGGTCCAGGTCCAGGCCGGCTTCACCATGTTCAAGGAACTGCCACCTGATGGCCGCCGCTGCAAAAATATGTTCCTACTTTGTTCTATAGTATGTGTTATCATTACAGGTATCAGGTACTTAGGTAATACTGAACTGTACAAACCGGTTATCTACCAACAACGTTAAACCATGTTTTTGTAATGTGCCTAAAGTTTAGAAAGACAATTCACAACGCCCGTACCTATGACCTAGTTGGCATGACCATTAGAACAATTGTTTTAATTCTTCTTAAAACAATTGTTTACCAAAACTAACATCTCGCTTGTTTTCAATTTATACCTACAGCACTTTGGTTTAATCTGTTCCAAGTACATACTTGAAGTCGTTTTTTATTCCAGAATACAGATCATACTAACATGCGGCCTTTCAACATTTGAAGCGAAGTAGTGTACAGCTGCCAGGGCCTCTACAGGCGCACAACTTGGGCCCAACACGTCGAACGAATGCACCGCATTCACCATGAGGTGAGCAGTCGACGGGCTGACTGCATCCTCTGCATAAACATGTGACATTTACTGAAATTGTTTGGGATAAATTAGTGCAGCTGGTGTTGCCGGTACAAGCGTAACGATGTACCACGGCCCGACACTAGACAAAGGAACGAAGTGGTTTTACGTGTTCTACTCTTTAAAAATCTGACACTCCACTCAGGACAGGACAATTCGGTCGGATATAGGGACCTGGAGAAGGAAAGGGGAGGAATTTTAGTCAGTAAGAGTCTGACACTCCCTCTCGGTCTCGCCCCACCTTTGCGACGCCATCGCCGTCTATATTATAGCGGAGTTGCACACGTGCGAAGCCGACGCCGGTCGCTGGTTTTACATAATTTCCTACTAAATTGGTTTTGTTACAATTTTTGTTTTTAATTGAGATACCTAACTAAATAATTAGAAAACTACCAATTTACATGAATATCAAACTAGCATAGCTATGATATGCATGATGAAGTCATGGTGAATATGGTCATTACGTGACTTGCCGTCAAAGTTATTGAGTTCTAGCAGTTCGTTGGGCGGGCGACGTCGCATACGCACGGTGTAGACTGCCACGCTGTAGTCGGGGCACGGAGCGCGGCGCCCTGGCGAAGCCCGGGCCGTGCCAGAGTCCTGCAGCGCCAGGGCAGCTGCACACACCATACTTAAGGACCATCAGCTACTGAAGTACGAGGGTCAAGGGGCAACAAGTTCTACTCTCAACTGTATTACCTGTTCCCGTTTGCATTTTCATCTTGTTCGACGTTGAAGGTTGTGACATTTCTTTTTCACGTTCTCTGAAAAGTTACACACCATTGATACCGTTGTATTCAGCAGTTTGCTTTAGTGCACTTAATTCAAAATATATTAAATAATTAAAATATTTAGTAAATTCAATAGCATGCACTAACTGCAAGTCCACAATGTAAGCGGATATACTCCTGGGTGCCCGCAGCAGAGAACTGGTTCCTCGCAGACGGAGTTCACCAACCCCTCTAAGAAACTCGGCTATAGGCAACTGAGAGTTTGGCTACATACCGAGTTGTCTGGCGATTATAAAAAATGATACATGATTAGTTTTGAGTTGTCCATCAAAAACGCCACGCTTCAAATTCCAACAAACCTCAGACAGACATCAGCATCTCTCGCGACACTGAGAGCATCGATGGGTAGTTGTCGCGCGGCACGTGCAGCTGCCACCAGCTCTTTAAACTCCACATATTCCAGCTTCAGGTCGCGGTTACTATCGAAGTACCTGATTGGACGATATCATGAAAGAAAGAAAGAAAATACTACCAGATATTGCCAACGAGTTCGATCTGTGTAGGTATGATTCCAGACTATAATCTATCTCCGAGCTAATTTTCGTTAAGTTCCATCAACGTAAAACAGTAACAGATATCCATCCATCTGTACTACGAGTACAAACTTCATTAGATACTTATTCCATGTACCTACAAACTTCCGCCAAATAGAGCAAAATTGAACTCTATAGGTAGTCCATAAGTCTGTTAAATATCTATTAGGGTTTCAAATCTAAAAAACTATAGCGTTAAAAGGGATTCTACTCCAGTAAAAGTCTCGTTGTCAAAAAAAAAGTCAAGTAAAAATATAAGTTACCTGAATATGTATCTGCACCTGATTTCAGCTGGCATACCTGTGTGCTGAGTAGCTGGCTCCAAGGCAGCTGCCCACAACATTAGCTCTAAAAATGACAATCCTCCACGTCCAGTCACATCTGCCGCTCTAATGAAATGGAACCTCATAAGATGCTATTTAGATAATGTAGGTACTTCTGTGGTCAGGAATAGGTATTTTGTCTGATATTAACAGAAGCAAAGGTACCTGAAAAGATTTTGACACTGTGTCCTCTGCCAACCAAGGTCAATCATGAACTGGGAGAAGATGTTAACGCTCATGTAAATAGCTGGATACACCATCAGCACGAACTCTCGGTACATTCTGATTTGATCTACAACGTGTAGGTAAATTTATAAGACTATATTACGCTTGAGAAACATTTGAAGGAAGATGGGATAAGAAGAAACATTGAAGAATGAAACCTGACGACCAGACCATCATTTTATTGTCACGTGACGCTCAGTCAAATCCAATTTGTGGATCGTAAATAGTTGTTGCGTGGATTGAACCCGCGCCACGATGAGCTGCATTTAAAAGCGTCAATACTGATTCTGTATTGTATTAAAAATACATAATAATTAACTATTAACCTTCTCGAGTGTAGCCGGCAGTCTGGAGCAGCTGTAGATTAGGGGAAGCCATGGCCACTGCGCCACCAGCCACGTCCTGCCCAATCACTACGTTCTCCTCGCAGATTTCGATCAACGATCCAGATTCTACGTCCTATACAATGAATAGCATAAATGCATAAGCTTATTGCGTTTTTTTGACCGGAATATCGAAAGTGAGGTATGCGTTACTTTTTGCGCCATTTGTGATACGCATGATTGAGTCCCATGTAGCCGTGGTGCCTTAGACCTTACACCAGGAGTAATAAAAGCGTCTGAGTATGTCGAATTCTGAGTGAAAGAATAAAACCCAAAACCCCTAGGGCGGCTCCGGCTCGGTGTTGGATTTTGTTGCTGCAACAAGTTTATTACATTGTATGACTACCTACAAAAAATTCAGCACATTTAGCCAGCTTGTGAATACACATAAGTCGATATTTTAAATGAAATTTAACTGCTATAGATACTTTGATGAGTATTGACATCTTTAAAAACTAGAAAAAGTTATTTTGTACCCAATCTTTGTCAGAATCTTTCAGCTCGCTGTTGATCATAAGGACGAAGGCAATGAGTTCTGGACTGCGAAGGTTCAAGTGAGCCTTCTGCCGCTCCAGTTCTGATATGTTAAGCCACTGCAGCCGGTTCCTCATGCCCTGGATTTATACTTGTCTGATTATTTATTTATAGGTTGATACAAGTAAGTATATATCATGCGTTTTATATGGACATTCACATAACTTATTAAAATCACATTACTTTGCTGTCACAACCGTCCAGCCAGACTGCCAGAATGCAATCACTTTGAAGAATATTTTGTAAGATTTAATTTAACGTCTTTCAAGCTTTCTGCTTGTTTTATTATTTCATTTTCTCATGAGATCTCTTGGACTATCCTATAATTACTTCCAATAGCTTGTCTTATATTCGGCGACGTCTTTAAAAAGTAAGATCATATTTATTTCGTAGTAGACCGACCATTTAGCGCGGAGCTAATATGGTCCGCCCAGTATTGACCTCTTACCCCTTAGATACGTTACGTTTATAGTAAACTGACTTACAGGTTTGTATTTAAGCCGCTTCTTAACGTCGATTTTGATGGCCACTTTGTAGACTGCATGGTACACGCAGTTTAATGAATGGCTCGGAAGCCATATCTTGTAGACCCGAAGAGGATGGCAGTTGGTACCAGCGTCTATACCGAATAACTGTGGCAAAGGTTTCTAATGTAGCCACTTTAGGTAGTATCAAAACTTTTGGAATAGAATAGTAATTTTTGTTTCGGTTATACTAGCCCAACGGGCCCTTATACCTCAAAATGAATCTTATTAGCGGTCATCTTCCAACAATTCTTTTCACACTTGCTGGATGGAAGCCATGTTTCACCACTTGCTTCTTTCGTGAACAAATAACATCGCTCGCTGGGACAGTAAACAAGAAGGGACACCACATCACAGAGATCCTTATAATTCTTGAACATATTGAAACCACCTTTAGCAACAAGTTCTATCAAAAATCATCAACATCTAAAATGACAATGGGACTGTCAAAATTATCAATTGTAGTTGTAGCTTTCTAAACTCTATTGTTAAGCCGCTTGAGCAAAGAGTAAAGTATAGCTGAACAATTTATAATTCTATAGTAGTCATGACGGTTTAATGCTCTAAAAACTGCATTGCAGAATGGTTACAGATGCTAAGTATGGGAGACCCATGCTAAGTATGGGAGAGCCATGCTAAGTATGGAAAAGTCATGCTAATTATGGAAGAGCCATGCTAAGTATGGGGGAGCCATTCTAAGTATGGGAGAGCCAAGCTAAGTATAGGAGAGCCATTCTAAGTTTGGGAGAGCCATGCTAATTATATGAAAGCCAGAGAGATACCACAGCTTTTTAGAAAACCGGCATAAAGCAACACTTACGTCGCCATATGAGTGAGGTTACCGGGGGGCCAATCCTCCCCCCTATCCTTAAATCCAAAATAACCTACAAGTACTAGTATCTAACTCCTTGGGTCCGGTAATATATATAGCTAGTATTACCGTTCCTTGGATATTGCGAGTGTCCATGGGCAGCGCTGATTACTTACCACCATAGGTCTGCTCATTTGCCGACAAAAATATCTAAATGCTAAATAACTTTCAACTACCTACAGGGGTAGGTAAGCATCTGCGTAAATATGTTGCCACCTAATTTACAAAAGCAAAATTAAATAAGTGCATTGATTTTTCATAGGTAGGTAATACGTTTATCAATGAGCGATCAAATAATCATATAGGTAATAATAAATTAATCGTATTTTCTATAGTAATTATTGTACGTATTTAAAGCCAATAGATGTCACTAGCATCGTAATGACGCACAGTAATGTACGAAAGGATTATTTACGTTGTTCTAATGTTTTTCTTTTATGTTTATAAGGACACAAGTTTAACACTTTACTAATGTTATGTTTTGAGTACCTAACAACAATCATATTAAACTGTAAGTTCATCTATCTTTCATTGTCAAGTTTTATTGATTACTTTCTGCTCTGGTTCAGTACTAGACAGTACTATAGAACTCTATGGCGGTATATAATGATGACGTAGTGATCACGCCACCTTCTTCATGCCTGTTCTAGCTCTATGATTGGTCGCAATGTGTAATCCCCCACCCCAAACAAAAATACGACACATTCAACACGTTTAGTGCTTCCAACCTTTACCGATACAAAACTCGATTCTGAAATCGATTGAACTTTGACTCATATATTAATTTAATAAACTTGTCGATCCATTAAACCTTGAAATCATTATTTCATATAATCTTGACCACAATTTACCAAACATATACGGGATATCTCGTCTCAAAATTACTTTGAAAAATCCTTTACTTAAAAGCTTAATCATTTTAAATTAATCGATTCGAACTAATGTCAAACTCTGAAAAGAAGGACAGCACTGACTAGTTCGGATTTGCTGAACGTTAGGAATCCCGCTAGTGTTTACCTCGAATTTATTTGAATATTTGGTGATAATTTACAAGTGTATTATACACAGTGGACCTGTGAGGACGCTAGGTAAGTGTTTTACTTCAGTAATTAATGATGAATGACTTAATATTTCACAGGCCAACTGGTAAAATATAACCTATAAGAAAATTCTGTGCGAGAGTTCTTCTCCGAATTTCTCAGATTTAATGAACTTGAAGTGAAATAAAAAGTCGGCAGATATTGGAATTTATAAAATTTTTATTGTATTGTGGTAGTATGTTTTTATAATTCCCCTTTTTTGTCACAAAAATACCCACGTATGCCGAATTAAGGTGGCGGATTCCTTCATCACATAACTTTCGGAATTAATTTGCTGTCGACATCTGAAATTTACAATAAAATTAAAAAAAAACCTGTATGACTTCTGCCATTCCACATGGGCTTCAGAAATTAAATTTGGTTTTTGGAAATCTAAATGTTTGATACTATGAAATCTTGTGACTTTGGATTTGGTGCTAGCTATTATTTATTTATGATTTTATCGAGGCCAAACAATAGATAAGATAAGTACTAGGTGATTTTTATACTGTAGTAGCTGATAATATTTAGAAATGTGGGTAATATTGATGAAGTCATTGTAATAGAATAGTAGGATTATATTATAGACCAGAAACAGTCACAGACTGCAAGTACTTATAAAATAAAATTGTCTTATGGGACAGTATTAATTTCCAGCATTGCATGATAATATTGAAGTCTTGAATAAACAGAACCAAGTTATATCACATACTTGTATCAAACAGTACAATAGAAATCATCATAAGTTTTATTTACTTGATCTTATTGGGAGCAATCATACATTTTCATGACTACAGTCATACATAAGAAATTAGCATGTGTAGTCTTGGATCATTCACCAGATGTTCTTTCACTGCCTCCTCTGCTGCATTGCACATTTGGAAGGGTTATTCCCAGACTATCCGCACAAATCCTTAATTCCATCAAAATATTATTCTCCAGGCTTAGGTGAAGACGTACTTATCTTTTATTATGGAAAAATAGATTATTTCATACTAATTTATTATAAATAAATTATTGTGAAGCTTGCAGATGCTACTGCAGTGAATTAACTATCCCACGCTATTGTTTATTATTCAAATACTAGTAATTTATTTCCTTTGTTTAATTATTTATTTAAATGATCATGTACTTACATATTTTAGTATAGTTTAACCTAAAAATCTTTAATAAGCAGCTATTGTAAACAAATTAATTAAATATATGTCATCATATCATTTAGCATGTGTTGTAATCACTTGGATTATGGACTTCGGTATGAAATAATTTAAATATTGAGTTGCCTATCTGACCATCATCGGGAAGAAGCATATTTTCCAAATTGTATACTGATATTGACCATGATTTGTCATAAAGGTTTCACTTTTTAGATATTGGAGATATCCTATCACTATAGAATGATTTCTTTCAATATTTACTTAAATGTTTGTTAAAGGATCGGTTGGGTTTCGTTATCTGTTACACCATACCATTCACGGATTTAGGTACATATTTTGTTATACTCAAATCGGTATTTATTTCAATTTTTTCTTAGTCATTAAATTCTGTACCACTGCAAACCATGTTGGTTAAGTAACAATATTTATTAAGATACGAACTTGTGACCAACACTTATAATAACTAGGTACCTATGAATGATAATACGCATAATTTTCGATAGCGAGTTGTTACTTCAGGCCACGTAATATAAAGTGTGTTCGCACGGCGGGGTCACGCAAGGCCGTGGACTTCGCGCTTCCCACTCAAGTCCCCTAAATTGAGAACATGGTTCGTCACACGCGCACGTGTCGTTTGCCGCGAATGCCTGATCGCACCTGAGCCGGTGTAGGGAAACATACGCACTATTAATTTAGGCTCAAGGCACTATTATGTGTGTTTATGGTTTACTCTAAGTAATCCCATGGAATGATTCCTTGTCTGAAATTCGAAGTAGTTTTGTCTGTCTTCTAAAATACAACTATTCGAAGCAAGATTTTGACTTTGCTTGTTGTAGGTAGCAATAAGCAGAAAAACTGTTTATATATTATATACATTACTGTTTTATTATAATTGTGTGATCCTATAAATACCTTTATCAAAAACGAGTGCCATACCTTGATCAATGTGTAAAAATTTACCAATCTAGTGTTAAGACAGATTTTTCATTTTTAGAAAGAGTTAGGTATAATACTTCCTAATATTGAGTAACGGTTGTTCAGCATTTGAAATCAATTTCTCAACACCAGCAAAGTGAAAGACCCACCTTAGTGAAAGCTTTTAAATCTTAATCGCGTCTCGACAGCTTCTATATTTTCAAATGCATGGTAGATGTTTAAAATAAGTATAGACTAATTTAACTTTGTTATAGATCATTTAAAATAAAAAAATAAAATCGAATTTAGAAAAAGGTGCCAATACTTCTCGTTTCAGATTTGGAAAATATCGGCACTTTTATTTAAACATCTAATTATTTAAGCTTTCTACAACAAAATTATGGTTGACTGAAGAAGACAGTGTCCCGGTTCATATTGTTTGTGGTGTAGTAAGTTGAACATGATTGGAGTAAATACCAACCCGGCCGTTCCGCTTGACAAACCAACTAACTCACTGCACCGCAGTCGCTAGACGAAAGTGAATATACTCGGTTTACAAGTTTTATAAGGCCAAGCATTTGTAATATTAAGTTTGTACAACTTGTTCAAGAATTCCTTTATCAGTGTCCACATATTTGTGCAAAATGTTTTAACTTTGGTAACCTTTCTTTCGTTGTCTGCCAATGACAAACGACTTCAATAATGCGGTAAATGCACCTACCTCCCAAAAATAACATAGCTCCATTTTTGTTGCGATGAAAAAGTTACGACGCGGATTATTTTTCAAAATTAAAAAACTTAATTTATGTACCTGTCACTGCTGCCAGTTCGTTTGTTTGTTACATTTTTGTGACTAATAACTCTCATTATAAACATTTGCGGTTGACAGTGTTATTATGGATCTTGTGTTTTAACGACACAAATGGTCAGACAGTAGTCCACCAGTCTTTCGATAATGTCCCAAGGCAAGGTCAACGACTCAACAGACGAGATGTTTTTGTCCTAAGACCCTTCGACGTTCTATACAAATCACGCTTGCTATCCGCATTATCTGTGACCCACTTGTCTTTAGATAAACACCCGCAGACTTGTCTATAGGTAAACTACTTTACCTACAAGTTGTGTCGTGTATACTCGTATTGTCTTTGTATGATTTGAGACTATCTAGACAAACGTTTCGATTTTATGACAGGCGTGATTGAGTCACAAAATGATGGTTTGCTTATCTTTCAAATGGTAATTCAAGCTTTAATTGACACGAAAATTCCATACACTTTCACAAAATTATTGTTAGGTTCTGTTCGGTATTTGATATGATCCCATTCCCACAATTTATCTATGGGTCCTGCCCCTAATGA